TTTTTTTTTTTTTTTTTTTGGAGGAGGAGGTGGTATGGTTTGAATTTCTTTCCTTGGGGGACCGGGGGATAAATTAAGCATGGTTTATTTTCTTCAGAACTTTTTGTCCTAGTCTTTGCATGACTATTGGTTATTCCTGATGATGGGAACAAATGTTTAGTCCGATTTTGCTTATATCGCTTCAAATTCTCACATCCTCTTTACAGGTAGTGACCCTCTCTTTTTAGTTCCTAAAATTACCCTCTTGAGTACTCTCACAATAACAACGTACACATAATAGCACCACATGATTGAGCACATAATGGTGACCCTAATAATGGAACATGGAGATCATACAGGAGCAAAGTATTTTCAGAGTCCAAAACTAAGCTCACTACTTCAATAGGGTGGGAAAACCAACAGAATTCTTGTACTTTGCTGACATTCAAACCGGGTTTAGCTTTAGGTACTTTACATCTCATGATAAAAGGATAAGATTCTGTAAGATGCAATCTCTCAGGTTCATCTATCTTGAGGAATGTATTTGAAGCATTCATGGAGTGCTATAACCTAGCGTACCCCGACCACACAAAGAAGAAAAAGACAAAGAGGCCATCATCTTCTAGGGTTAGTAATTGGCTCTTGATTGTTGTCAATTTTGACACAGTGTGGTCATTGCTAACAAGGACAATGATACATCTGGGGCAAGTAAATTGGACTTTTGCATGTCCTCAATGCACTTTTTGAAAGCCAAGTATCACCTGTATGAGCAATTCCGTCTTTAAACGCCTACTAGATTCATGCTCACTACGTGCTTCACCACGTTGGCTAATGATTGCATCAATTTCATCCAGAAATATCGTTGAAGGTGCATGATGCCTTGCCAGGTCGAATAACACTTTTATCAATTTCTCTGAATCACCTGTATCATAGTGGAGATTTTCAAAGGATATAGAACAAATTAATTATCTTGAACTCATGTACCTAATAACTTATTAAACTAGTAGCAGATGAGATACCTTCGGGATGATCTCCCTCGACTTTGACTATATAAATTTCGATAAACATGGTTAACCTACCTCTAATTATGTATTTCTTTACGTTATAACAGATAAACAAACAGGTTTACCAGTAAAAACCGACATCATAACTGTTTTGTACAGAAGCTGAACGATAGGAACCCCTGGCCCTAACCATATACAGGTTTTTCATTATGTGACCACCCCGTGAGATGTCAATTCCCGTCAAGGCTGAAAACAGATGAGAGCAGTTGACGCCTCCGTGTAGGAAATCAAAGCTTTTCTTTTATCACTAACTGCTGCAACATAACTTCATTTATACTAGGTAACAAGCTACATCAGAACATGCATTTGACATTATTTAAGACATAACTCATCAGAGTTCCTTATTTCCTGTGACCCCGGTATGTCTACCTTGTTCTACAAATAAACCGTGAGCCCAACCATGTTCACAGTTTCCATCTCATTCCAAAATTTGCAACTTTCAGGGGAAAGTAAGCAATAAAATAGAAATTACAGCTAAATTATTGCCAAGCTTAAATATTTATAGTACTTCCCCCACTTAAAATTGAATACAATATTTTCTACCAGACGTCTAATATTTTCCTTTTTCTTTTAATAGGATGGTTATATCAGTTTTTTCCTCATTTCTTTTCTAATATCATATAACTCAAAGCAGTGTTCAGTTGCATTTACTTTTCCCAATATCTAAATGCTTGAAATTTTCCAATATTTGCCCCAGTTTTCTTTTCAGTCGATGTTAAAGCAGTATAAATTTTCAATTGTTATATGCATAGCTTTGCCAGACAAATCAGATTGTCCAACTTGGAAAATTGGTAAAAGCATATTAGTAAATCACAAAGCTAGTTCTTACCACGCCATTTGCTGACGACTGATGATGCTGAGATGTTGAAGAAAGTGGTGTTGCATTCAGTAGCAACAGCCTTTGCTAGCATGGTCTAGAAAATCAACATGAATATGGAATAAGATAACTAGTTAGATAATAATCCTTCATTTCGGTCCATCTGCCTTATCATGTTACTGAAATTTTAAATATACACATACCAACATGAGATGAATACAAAGAGTGGACATATCACACAATAATAGTACCAAAGATCGGAAATAAACAGTTGAAATTGTAAAAAAAAAAAAAAAGACAGTGAAATTCAAAATCACAAAAACAGGACACAACATTTAATTTCAATAGCATATCAAGCAGAAGAAAAAGTGACTACAAACCTTTCCTGTTCCTGGTGGGCCAAAAAGAAGGATACCTTTCCATGGAGAAAGAAGACCTGTAAAGTACCTAAAAACAGAAAAGAGAACCTGTCTCAGTTATGAGGACTCCAGTCTCTCTTTTGATCTCCAAAGGAAGTAGTTCAGGAAAAAATGTTAAGAAGCAAAAACCCCAGAAAAATATTGTTGGGTATACTTCATAGACAAAAATTCATTCTTTAGGTTTGTACCACAAAATTAGAATCTCTTTGTATTCCACTTGGGCGATAGTAGCACATAGATAAGCGTTCGTTTATAAAACCTACTTTGGATATTTTATTGGCATGACAACAGCCTCTTTAAGTAGATGTTTGGCATTCTCCAATCCCTTTATGCTCTCCCACTTAACATCAGGGCTACCACGAATAATATCCCTGGTAAGGTAAAAAAACATAGAAATTTGGGAAAATATGTGAGCATGATGGGAAATGAGGTTCAATTAACAGCAAGAGGTTCAGGTCATTTTCAGTCACTTACCTAATTAAGCTTTCTCCTAAAGCACGCATTTCTGCTGACTCAAAAGGAGGAAGCAGAGATCTCTGCCTGAAAAGCAAGCATCAAAATCTGTTAAATCAGGAGAGGGAATGATGCTCCAAAGTTAATAGTTGTTTTATCTTCAACAATGAGTATGTCAAATAGTTATTGGAAAACAAATATTCAGTGACAGAACATGCACAGTGTACATGTTTTTAATTGAAGACAGTTGTGCAGTATTGAACACCAGCAACCAAACACAAAATATTTAAGGTCATTATTTTGCGAATCATACGGTTTTTCATCCCCTCCGGCAGATGAAACTCCATTAGAGTGCGCTGAGCTCCCATTATTTGCCTAAACCAAGACAAACCGGTTAAGCATCTCAGACAGATAACCATGCACCAAGTGTAGGATTATGTGATCACTATTACAAAAATACCTGACTGTACTGTTCATAGATGGACAAATCTGAGGTCTTCTTTACATGTCCATTTCCATTTGATGTCATAGTCAAAGAATTTCCGTTATATACAGCTCGACCATTTTCAGCCGCATCTTCTGCAGCAGATTCTTTCTTCCTCCCAAACTTAGCATCATAGAACAACTTGAAGTCCTGAATATGGACAACAAAGCAAAGTATCTTATTTAATGCTTCCTAATTGAATTTTATAAATTTCATCAAGAGACAACATCTAGGCTTAGGAAATCATTCAACACTTTCAATTAGGTATAACAAATTACTCAGGTTCACTCACTTACAAAAAGAAAAATTAATTATTTAGGTTCACTCTTTTGAACTTCACACCAACTTTCTTAAAATTGATAACATTTATATCAACTATTCCACAGGGTACCTGCTACCTCCCATCAACACAGTGTACCGGGTAACTCTGTCCACCAAAGACTAATCACTACCAAATTGTTTGGAAGACCAGGATGTTATGAATGAGTGAGAAACAAACCAAGTCCTAAGTAGTTCAAATTAATGAATGACAATAGTCATGCATCCCAATATCCCACATTATTTTCAGCAAATAAACAGCTCAAAAAAACAATTATCACTACCTGTAGGAATGTACACAATGTCGAGCACATACTTTTAAGTTCTCTATCTTCTATCGACATCATTACAAAATATGTCTTCTCAAGATTTTTAGCTAATACTCCCTCCGTCAAATTTATGTGATGTTATTTCCTTTTTTTATTTCTCCCAAAAAGAATGACACTGAATCTATTTTTAAAAACAATTTAACTTTAAAATTTTCATTTAACCCCTAATGAGATGATATATAGTAACACAAATAACTATGGCTTGTTTTAAACTACAAGTTTAAAAGTCTTTCTTTATTTCTTAAACTCTGCTAAGAACACTTTACATCAACTAAGCTAAGAATCATTCAACAATATTGAAACATCGTTCCCCTTTCATTCTACAAAGGACTAGAATATACAAAGCGAAAATCATATCAAAACCAGTGTTTTAAAAGGCGTTTTCAGGGCGAGCCCTGTGACGAGGCGCACCAAAAACACCCTGAGGCGATTGTGGGGCAAAAGTCTCAAGAGGCGTACGCCCAGCAATTCGGGGCGTACGCCCGAGCGTTCAGGACGTACGCCTGGGCGTTTGAAGCGCATTTTTTAGTGAAGCGTAAGCTCCAGAGATTTTTTCAAATTAAAACAAAATTTGTTGAATAAGTCCTTCATATAATACCCAAATTCTCAAAAGTGAGCTTGGTAATTACTCAAAAGTTTTAAAAAGGAACTGAAATATATTAAATTTAAAAGTCAAAACTTTTTTTATTGATTGAAACCCTAATTCATGGTCTTTCCCAATTCTTTATCTTGTCCGTTAGTATGCTAATATCCCTAACGAATATTCAATTTTGTTTTTTTACAAATTCAATGAGAACTACATTCTCCTTTATGAGCAAGTTCAAAGTTTAAATTGCAGGTCAGTCATCCTTTTTGTTCCTCCATGTAAAAAACTTTATTCTTTTCGACTCAAGTTACTTGTACTTCTAAGTAGCGTATAATAAATTGTTTTAACTAATTTTTTGTGGGGATAGAGCACATCTACATATATGTTTTTCACATATTTATAGTTTTCTTCAATTTTTATGCAATTTTACTGTTTATAAATATTTACTGTAATTATATTATTTTATAAAATATTAAAAATTAAATATCTATGGGGCTTACACCCCGTGCTTCGGGCTTAACCTCGCTGAGGCATATGTAAAACTACGCCCAGGCCTTTTAAAATACTGATCAAAACTTAAACAAGCAAACTCGTATCCCCTAATTTCCTCCTAGCAACATTTTGTTACCAATTAAACAGTCCAAAATAAAATTCCTAGTTTCTGAACTTTATTTTAGTTTCCTTTCCAAGATTTTCGAATAATCAGATGTGACACAATCAAATAAAAACTGAAAAAGTCAAAATTCAACCAAAAAAGTCAAATTCACAGCATTCCTTCACTAATTCAACAGCTCAAAAGTAAAACAAACACAATTATCACTACATGCAAGAAATTAAACAATGCGAAGCACTCTCTGAACTTCACTCTAAGTTCAACAACTATCAACGAAACAAGCACGAATTAAGCATTCAGAATTAAGAGTAGTTCTTCGGCGAGTTCGAGTACCTCAAATGACCAGCGCGTGATAGAAGGTTCGTCGGCCATTTGGTTTTTCCGATTGAGAACTCTGACAGAAAAGAGAGATCTCTGCAGAACTCTCTCTCTCTCTAATCCTGCGTCAAAGACACGCAGATACACGCTACACTATGTGTACGTAAGCAATTATTAATGGAGAGTACATTTATAATAAGATTTAGAGCAGTGCTAAGTGAAAATCAGGCATGTGCTTAACTTAAAAAAAATAGGGAGAGAATCTTCAAGTAAGAGCTGTGGAGTGGACCTGAATATATTTGAGCTGTCGTGTATGTATAATAGAAGCACAACCGTGAGGCCAAGAGGTAGCGGTTGTCTAATTATTGACCTTTTTTTTAATTACTTTTGCCAACTATAAAAACTTGTACAATTGCCTAATTAAGATTAGCTTTTAACATTAAGATATATGAATTTGAATAACGATTGTTCAGATACTGACTTTAAATTTTAACTTAAATAAATAATTAAGATTTTTTTATTTTCTGAATATTTGAACGTGTATAATTTTTTAATTTAGAATTTCATAAATTTAAGTATTATATTTACAAATTTTAGAAAACTTAGAAAAATCTCAGTTAATATTATGACATTAAAGAATTTCAAGACTCGTGTGTTTATTTTAGTCGATAGGATTTTCCTCTTGTGTTTATGTTAGTCGATAGGATTTTTCTCATATCGTTAACTTTTGTATCGTGCCGCTAACGCACCTCTCTCTCTTTTGCACTTTTCTTTTGTTATGAAAAAGGTCCGTGGCGAATTATTGATTCTAGAGTTGCTTATTTTCCTTTTGCCTCTTTGTTGTTTTACAAAGTGCGAGTCCTCAACAAATTTAGGATTTCTAGTAAGGGTACATTAATAAAAAATAAATAAATAAATAAATAAATGGTAATTGATCTTTATTCTCTTGATAAATAACTCAACTTTCAATCAAGTGCACTTTTTTGGACCATGAGTGTCAACAGTTAATATTATATCAATTTTAAAAAATATGTACATAAAATATTTAATTTTGAGAAAAGTCTATGAGTTCACGTGCCTTATAATTTTGTCTATAAATCCGCCCTGGTAAAGAGATTAGCATGATAGCAGCGGTGATTATAGTTGACAATATTAATTATGAAATAGTGGCTAATGGCAGTGGCGAATAATGTGGTTATGTGATAGGAGTGGAGAGAGTAACGGTGAAAGACCATCTCCTCAAGAAGGAGGAGAAGAAAAAGATGGAGATGACGAATAATGTGGTTATATTTTAAAAAAACGTACAAAATATAAAACTAGTTTTGCAAGAGGACATACCATTAACTTTTTCAAAATGTATAGGTCCAGCGGCACATTTTACAAAGGGACGATTCATTAGTCAAGATTTACGAGTTAGTGGGTTAGTTGACGAGGTGATCTCTTTTTAAATTTGAATCGGACAACTGACATTCAGGTTTTAATTATTGTGGGATTGCCTTTCATGTTTAATTAATAGTTAAGTGGGATTAATAAGTGGAGGGGGGAAATTGAGTATTTATCCCTAAAGCTTCAGTTATTACACTTTGGCCCCAACTTATATAAATGTAATATTACCAGATTAAAAAAAAAATCTCATCCCTTCCGCCCTCATTTGCCTCCCCAATGGCATTTGTACATTTGACGAATTTGTTGATATCATCACTAAACGTGAAAAACCAACATGTTCCCCGAGGAATTTGAATATTACATATATACTTAGCTCTGCACCAAAGAGGGACAAGATTCATCCTTCCTTCATTAAGAATGACAATGATTTACAATCATACCTCCTTGATATTACAATTGATGGTTTGAGGCCTTGTTTGAAGATATTTATGGCTGAAAATGAGTTTGAAGAAGAGGCTGAAGCTCCCGTTGAAAGGTCTCATCAAGGTTCAAATGTCGCAGCTGCACCGTAACCACCACCAACAACAACACGACCACCTATATTAGAAGTAGAGGAGGAAAGAATGGTGAAAGATGGCTTCAATGGATTTAGTGACGACTTGCATGATTTTGGTGACAATAAAATGAAGTCGTATGGTCCGGAAGATGCAAATGGAGCGGAAGAGCTCCCAGATATTGTCAGTCGGCCAGTTGGAGATGAAAGTTTGTTGGACTCATTAGCTACACATCACAGCCACCCTGATAGTACAAGTTTTTTCCTTGGAAAATATTTTGACAATAAATTGGATCTAATGAAACAGTTGGAGATTGCTTATGTGAAAATGTATTTTACGTTTCGTATGAGGAAGAGTAGCAGTAAATTAACTTCAGTGGTATGCCGAGATGTGAGTTGCCCGTGGAAGTTACACGCTTTAAAGTATGATAATTCTGATAGGTTTTAAATTGCCAAGTACCATAGAGAGCATACATGCGGGGTACAACACATATCAAGCCGTCATCCGAACGTGTCATCGAAGACTTTGGGTGCATATTATCAGGAACGGTATGTTAATGGCAAAGGCTCATCCCCGTCAGATCTGAAAGATGCTATTTTTATAGATTTTAATCAAAATCTTACTTATTGGAGGAGCTAGAAGGTAGGTGAAATAGCTAAGGCGATGATCATGGGTACTCAGGAAGAGGGGTATATTTTTTTGGAAGCGTATCACCATGTTATGTTGTCCTATAATGAATGAAGTATTGTCGATTTGAAAGTTGATGATAAATTGGATTTTCAATATTTTTTCTTATCTGTTGGAGCTTTCATTAAGGGATTCGCGCATATGAGAATGGTTATTGATATTGATGGGACAATTTTGAGTGGCAGGTATGGAGGCTGCTTGTTGTCTGATGTGGCACAAGATACAAAGAATCATATTTTTCCAATTGTGTTCTGTATAGTCGATAAAGAGTGCGATAATTCTTGGACCTACTTTTTTAAATGATCGCAACACATTATTGACGACAGTGATGAATTGTGCATTATCTCTGATCGACATTTGTCTATAAGGAATGGCTTCAAAAACGTTTTTACTGCCACTCATCATGGTTTTTGCACGCGTCACATTGCTGAAAATATGCGCAAGAGGTTTCATTATGGAATTTTTATTAAGCATTTCTTTTGTGCCACACTTTCATACAGTACTGAGGAATTCTTAGACCATTTTCAGCAACTGCGAGATAAAAACAGGGAAGTAGCTAACTGCCTCGCGAATAAAATTGGGTTCCAAAAGTGGAGCAGGGCCTTTTTTCTAGGAAACCAATACAGCGCGTTGACAACAAACATTGCAGAATCGCTTAACGCAATGCTTAAGGATCAAAGAGACTTCCCGATCATTGGCCTATTCAATCATATTATTCGAAAGTTTGCAGAACAATTTGAGGAGCGGCGTAATGAAATGAAAAATGTTTTGACCCTCTTTGTTCCTTCTGTTGAAAAGAAGATTAGGAATAATATGGTTGTCGGCGACGCACTCCGGGTGCATCAATTAGAGAATGACCAGTTTAGCGTCGTCAGGCACGGCATAGATGCAGTAGTTGATCTGGATTTGAATACATATTTTTGTTATCAGTTTGATTTGGAAAAAATACCTTGTCGACATGCAATGGAAACTCTGAGATTGAGCTTTGGGGATGGATATGGTTCCTCTATTTACGATCACTCTTCTCTGTTCTATAAGGTTTTAACATATTTGGTAGCATATGAAGGAACCATTCACGCAATCCATATAGAAGAGAAATGGGCAGTGCCTGACGAAATTCAATTCACAAAAATACTTCCATCCGATGTCGAGCCTATAAAGGGTAGAAAGAAGTTTAAGAGATGGCCAAGCATTTTAGAACCTAGTTCTTTTGGCAGCAGGAAGAAGGGCAAAAATAAATGTTCCATTTGCAAAGAACTTGGCCATAAGAAAATGACTTGTAAAGTATTGTTGCAGCATTCTTGATCTTTTAGCTACTAGTGTTGTAATAAAGATAATTAACTCTTTTAATATTCTAGACTTGTTGTTTGTAATCACTTGTTATTTCTAGTAGACTTGTTGTTTCTACTATCAACTGTTGTATTGTACATCATAGATTATTGTTTAATGGTCAACCACCAGTATTGTCTATTGCAGACCTATGATCTAGAGTCAACCCTCCCTTATTTTAAGGAGTCATGTGATTAAGTTGTCTTATAGACTACTGTTTTATTGTCAACCATCCACATTATCTATTGTAGACCTATGATCTAGAATCAACCCCCTTATTTTAAGAAGGAGTTATGTGACTGAGTTGTCTCATAGACTACTGTTTTAGAATCAACCACTCACATTGTCTATTATAGACCTATGATCTAGAAACAACCTCCTTATTTTAAGAAGAAGTCATGTGACATACTTATTCCCTATTTTTAATCTACCCCTTATTATATCTTCAACCACCTGTAATCAACCAATGTTCTATTGTCAACCCCCATAGGTATTTTCAATTTAACCAAGACTTGTTGCGCTGGTTTAGATAGCCTATTGATAACCATTGGTTTAGGTAGTTAATTTAATATCTAATGTTAATAACAGCTGGCAGCCGATATGAAACGGACTTGTCTAATTAATTAAAATACATCAAATATGCCAATTCAAAGCATCAATTCGTTTCTCAAAACTCTCAACAGTCACGTCATTTAGGAGAATTCATATGGAAAGGCACCATTTAGTGTCAAAGTTTGCCTATAAATACATTGAATCTGATGGTTTATTCATCATTCTTTCAAATAGCCCAATCACTTAACAGAGAAATGCCTCTGAGGCCAAGGCCAAGCATGGATGCCATTTTCATCAGGGAATTACTGGATAGGCTCATCCGAGAGATCTAAGAAGACAGAGTGAGGCAAGAGAGGAACATTCGTCGTATAGCACGCATGTTGCGGATTTTCCTTCATAGGACTGGTGCGAATATTGACCACTATATTAGCCCAGGAAATTCTCCTTCCCATGATCCTTCTCCCCTGCAGTTTAATTTTTTTTCTTTAGTTAATGGAAAAAATATATGTTGCTGTGAGGGGAGTTATTTAATAAAAATATTTAACTTAAGTTTTTTCTATTTAATTTTCAGCTCAACTTTTTTTGAATTTTATTGCCCTGTTTTTTTATTTTTATGCTTTAGTTGCTTTTTTTCATTTGACAACACTTAAGTGCAAAAAGGCCCCAAAATAAAATAAAGAGGTTCCAATAGAAAAATACAACTCAGGGGATATAAATTTCAGTCTTCCAAATATTTGAATTTTTTGCCAATGAATTGAAAATTTTACAACAGTTTTTGATTAAGCCTACA